CAAAAGGAAATACCATTATTCCACTGTCATGTTCCCCGTGCTGAGTGGATTCTTTTTACTTGTACCGTTTCATTTTGCAGCAACTACAAACGCTACTGTGCTGTGAGGATGACTTTCAGCAGGCTGGAATTAGCCTGAGCTGTTTTGTTAACATTCCTGCGTGGCACTGACCCCTGGCCCAGAGCAAGAAGCACACTGATTGATAATGTTGCTTTTTAATCATGGGTCTGAGGAGGTTCGGGGAGAGTTGTACCCACTTGGCAGCATTGTTTTTTGAAAATGGTGAGATAGATGATTTACACCTGGTCTCAGTAAGCCCACATAGGGCTCTGCAGTTGAGGCTGATGATGCCTTGGGAAAATGCCCTGTGTGGACAGAAAAGTATAAAAATCCCCTTCTGAGCCTCCATTTGGGCTCTCTTGTTCTGGCATATTCTACACACATATCAACCATTCCTGATCCAAGAGAGTGTTTCTAGTCACCTTCCTTACAGAAAGACACAGGGTCCTGCACCTGTCCTATCTGGCCCCTTACCATGAATGGCCTTTGATTGTGTTACACGTTCTTACTTTACTGCTGTTGGCTGTTTTACACCCTTTTCTCATAACAAGCTATGAAGTTTGGATTTAGTGGGTCTTCAAAAGTGGAGCCCTCTTAACTTCACACTTAACAGTTATACAGCTGCAATCATACAATTCAATATTCCAAATGGATTATATTATCTATCACCTAGCCCTCCACGAGCTGTATACTGTGTTCTCAGTGTGTTGTCCAGCACATTGAATGGAGCTTCTTCCAGGCATCCATCTCCATTATCCAGAAACAACAAGATGCTTATGCTTCCCTTAAGACTTTTGGCATTTTGAGTTGACACTGTTCTTGGCACCATCCCAGTTTCCCAGCAAACTTCAAGATCTTGTCATTTATATTCCAGCATGTTGCTAAACGCACTCAGAGGATAAGAGATGAAGTCCATAGAGTCTGGTGTTAGAATGTCATTTATGTGGTACTGAAACCACCAAGATGATGACAGGAATAGCATGAAGGGAGTGACTATAATGCAGGTACCAACAGCTTCAAGGAAGAGAGGGAGAGACCTGGTGTAGTCTGATGACATAAGAATCAATGCCAGAGACTTTAGAGGGACAAAGAATTTTCTAAAGGCAGCAAGCAGGCTCGGGTATAGGAGGGAATGTGAGAGTGGGAGATACGATTCACTGAAGGAAAATCAGGGTGCAGTTATTGGAGGTTTGTAGTATAAATTCTAGAAGGCCAAGAGAGGGAAGACAGCCATAGTGGTGCAGGCCTTGACTGACTCCATAAGATACAGGGTCCCTGGTAGAGTGGCCATGTATGGTCTCAGTGATACATCCCAGTACCAGACATCCATCATATACCTGCAATTGAGCAGGTACTCTGCTCATTTCTGTGTAATGATGAATGAATGACCCTCTGGCACTGAGACTAGAATAGCATCATTTTATGGCACATAGTCGTTCACAAGAGTATCCTGAGGCCAATCCAGATGTCTAAATATTGGGTAGTCAGTCTTCACTATGAGGAAGTCCAGTTATGCATTGGGGGTCCACATTGTGGACAAGAAAGAGGAGTAAATGACAGGCCATAGCTAGAGACAAGGCTGAAAGGGGCAGGAGACAGCAGCTAGGGGGACAAAGAGCAGGATGTGGGTTTTGAATGAGGTCACTGTGATCTGGAGTGCACCATCGGGGACTTCAATTGGAAGTCTTAAGGACTGTCATTGGTATGTTGGACATACCATAGATCATGATCACAATGTCACTTTATTTTGGTTACAGCCCTTCTCCACTTGAATCAGTGGGGGACAATCTTTCTTAGTCCTGGATAAACACTGCTGCAGGCCCTTGACATTCTCTCTTTTTCTTAGGTAATAAACAGGAAAGGCTCCTGCTTATAACATAAAGGTCCATGCTGATCCAGGGAATGTAGTGGGCATTGGAGTATGGGGTCCAAATAAGTGTTGCTCTGTTGAGATTGAACAAATAGAGCCTTTTGGGCAGACATCCTATAAACATGGGAATAGTTGGTTCTTTTATTTTTCTCACATTTCCCTTCATGTGTTTTGATCATTTGAAAAATTAGGACATTAACATTGCAACTTCATTTGGATGCAGAGCAAATATAAAATTAAGACTACAAAGTTGATGTCCTGCATTTTAGTTCCGTTTTGACATTGGTGGAGGTTTTAAAACATACCTGCAAATTCTTTGACACTTCTATTATGAAGAATTTGGGGTCTGTGGCTCCTCCTCATGAGGGTAGGCTTATGACAGTTTCCACCAAGAGAGCATAGTAAAGTGGAGCCACATGACCTCCGAGGCTAGGTGAGACAAGCCCATACAGCCTCTACCTTGTTCACTGGAATGCTCACTCTTGGGGCCCTAAACTGCTGTGCTAGACTCCCACCTAAGCTTCCTTGAGATCCTCTAGCCTGAAGCCTTTGTCTCCAAATCATGCCAGTGCAGGTGGCTACTATGTAAGTGAACAAACCTTTAGATCAGGACTAGGCAAACATTGTAAAAGGCTGTATCATATGGCTTTGTGGGCCATTGCAATCTTCGTACCTTCCTCTCAACTACTCGATTTTGCTGTTATAGCACCGAAGCAGCCATGGATGCTAGGTACATGAATGGCTGTGTTCCTACAACACTTATGTGCAAAAACAGGATGTAGACTATGAAGCTGTAGTTCGCTGGCACTTTAGGTGCCAGCCATTTGAAAGTCCCAGGGTTCAAAGGCAATTCTTCTCACCTATGCTCTGTCCACAAATCTCTGACCCACAGGATCCATGAATCTAATAAAATGGCCAATACTTTGTTCCCACTATGTTTGGGGTAGCATGTCACACAGCAATAGAGAATTAGAACAGTATTGTACAGGTAGGCCTCATTAAGAAACTGAGATTTAGGGCTGGGAGCATGACTCAAGTGGTAGAGCACCTACCTAGCAAGAGTGAGGCCCTAAATTCATGTCCTAGTCCTGTTCCCCCCAAAAAAGAAAGAAAAGTGAGATTTAAGCTGGGTGTGGTGACACACATCTGCAGACCCAGCCACTCTAGAGGCTGAAGCAGGAGGATTACTTAAGCCACAGAGTTTGAGGCCAGCCTGGGAAACATAGAAAGACCCTGTCTCTAAAAACTAAAAAAAAAACAAAACCAAAAACACACCTTAGGTGCAGGAGTGTCTGGTGTATATAATACCAGTAAGGAAATCACCCTAGTCATCTCGCTCATCTTTACTCTAGACCAGCAGATAAGGCATGACCACAGTCTGATCCAAGGCTGGGTGCTCTGCCTGTGCTTCCTCCTGCCACAGGGACAGGTAGGCCTGGTGAGGAGCTCTTAGGAAGCAATTTCACATACCTACTTGTGAGACACTGCACAAGGCTGTTTCCTTTCTTTCTCCAAAGTTTCAGTAGACCACAATATTTTCTTTCTCCTTCCCTCCATCCCACTCTCCCCCAAGGATACAGTTGCAGGCTCTTCTGAAGTCTATCAAACTGTAGGCTGTAGTTCAGTCAGTTGCTCAGCTGCAGAGTGACCCACTGCTCACATGATCTGCTTATCTGGCCCCTCTGGCTTGGTGTCATCCTGCAGGACTAGGGGTGAAAGGAGCTGACACCATTCCAATTTTGCTTCTGCTGCCTGTATAAGTTATAAATTGTTTAATCCAACTGAGCTGGTTGTCTTCTTACAGCCAAATCTACAGGAAGTGACCCATGGCCTAGGGGTCAAAGGAGTGCTTGACCAGAGGCTGTGTAAATGGAAGTGGAGTCAGGAGATGAAGCCCAAGGGAGGGGACCTGGGTCACACAGGACCTGTAGGAGACCTACAGGCCCTTGGCTCTCACGTAAAGAGAAAGCAGGAGTCACCAAAGGGTTTAATGAGTTTTGAGTTGGAGGAGTGACATGAGCAGGTTTATGTTTTCAAAGGATCACATTAAAATACATTCATTTTAAATATGTTTCCCTTTATAAATGTAAGGTATTGTTGCGTTTATTACTAAAAAGTGATTCACTTTCTTTGCTGCTGTTGTCTGGGATCGTCCATACTTGACCGCTACACACTTTACCACACTTTCCGCTCCTCTGCCAGAGTTACATCGACTCTCATGTCCCTCCATGGGCGCCATTTCTCTTGCCTCGTTCCTGGGACCCAACAGAATTCTTTCCTCAAGAATCCCTCCGCAGGAGGTGGTGAGCTCCTTGACGCCTGAGTCAGGTCTGGCATCACCAATCCCATAGCCAGGAGGCGTTCAGCGGGAGCGCAACGGGAGGGCGCTCAGTAGGGAGCGCTGCCACCGTGGCCACCACCTCTGGGAGCATTGCTGTCAGGGTTTCCCAAGTTCGCACAACCTCGATTGCCTGGCACAATCGTCCCTAAACTGCTGAACTCTCCTCATGGGTCTGGGATCTGCGTCCCGCGACCTCCACTCATCTCTCCCTTCCTCCCCCCAACCCCATATCCCTCTATCCAACACACACGTGGACGCTAGGCCTGCCCTACTGCCAGTAACCCTCTCTGTTTCCCACCTCCCGCCCTCCCATCCTTTACTTCTAACTACTTCCCATCCCGTTCGTCCTCCTTCCCTCCGTGGCTACCCTCCCCGTCTGCCCACCCTCTGCTAGTGGTCTGCCCCTGCGCTCTAACTCCGTCCCCTTCCCTTCCCTTTCCGCCCCTCCTCTCCTGTCCCCCAGGCTCGGGTAACCTGTCAGAGTTAACCAGGGCTCGCCTCCGCCCGCCCCCACCCTCCAGCGCCCCGGGGGCTCGGCCCCCGGCCCGCCCCTCCCCGCCCCCTTAACCAGCTCCCTCCTCTACTTCGCCTACTGGCCCGTCCTCCTTCCCGCCCTCTCCCCACCCCAACCTGCCTGGGTCCGCCCGGACTCTGCCCCGGGCCTGCCCCTTCCAGCCCTCGGTTCCTCCGGTCAGCGACTTGTCTTTGCCACTCCGGCGCCTGCTGGCTGGCGGCCGGGACTAGGGTGCTTTGTTGGAGCACTTGGCCAGCATCAGGGCCGATTCGGGACGTCCGTCGGTCCGGAGAGAACCTCCAGATCCCGGCTCCATTATGGGGCTGGCCCCACCGAGGCTGCTGCTGGGGCTCTTCCTCCCCGCGCTCTGGAGAGGAGGTGAGTGCACCGCGGCGGGCCAGGCGGGGGTCTTAAGTTCCTCAGCTCCGGCGAGGGAGCGCGCCGGCGGGGGCGCGCCCCGCTGCTGGACAAGTTGGCACATTGCTCACCCACCCGGAGCAGTCCCGAGCAGGGAGCCGGCGAACTCAGCCAGCCACTGACTGCAGCCCCTCCAGCGAGCCATCGAGTGTCCTGAGGGCACCCAGGCTGGTTCGTGGGGCCAGGACGGGTGGGTACCTAAGGCTTCTCGTCGCCTCGGAATTGGAAATCGAGCTCGGCGGGGCTCGCTGCAAGTTCCAAAGTTTTTGGAACGTAGCACCCAGGTCTGGAATGCGCCAAGAACTTTGTTCTAGACAGCCTTCCCTGGTTGAGCTCGGCTCTGGGATTTCTGGAAGCCACAGATCAAGTTTCCTGGGGAACCTGAAAGAGCGAGCTGCTGGAGTTGGTGTCGCCGCTGTGCCGGTGTCGCGATCGACCGACTGGCTGGCGTTCTGGCTGCTCTTACTGGGCTCTTGTGGGCAAGATTGGCCCTCCTGTTTAGGTACACCCAGTGAGTGTGGAGTCCTGGGAAAGGGGAGCGTTCTTGTTACTCCTGTCTCGGCACACAGAATCTTTTGTGCTTGGGCAGCGTCTAGGCTCATCCCGATTCTGCCAAGTGTTGTTACTGGCATTTCAATTTAAGACTCTGTATTGCTAAGCGCATGCCAGCCAGGAAGGCACGTTCCATTCCGCAGCAACAATTTGCTTGGAGGCTGATCACACTTTCAAGTCCAAGCTGATGCGCTTTTTGAGGAACTTACCAGGTTTTATCCAAAAGAAAAAGAAATGGGTGGGGGTGAGGAACATAACGAAACACACCTCATGTATTTCCCTTTCCCTCAAAGGTTCTGTTTCCATTCAGAATGCGGGTTTAAACTCTTTTGATCGTGAATGTGATTGACTAGCATTCACCTATTATACACAAAGAAGTCTTTTAAGAATACCTGGAAAGCTCAGTTTGTAGTCAAGTATCTTTGTTCAATTTGAGATTTCCCTTTGAAAGCACAGTTGCTCAAAGGAAAAAAAAAAATCCTAAACAATGCATTCTCCTTTTTTGCACATTAAATTACATAAACAATTTATAAGTTGAGGCACATAGTAATTTGAAACAAACATGGAAAGCCAAAATCAAGCACAGAAGTGAGGCAGTTCTGTTCTCCACCTCCCGCCTCCAAATCCTCAAGAATTTCTCGGCATTTCTGCCAGATCCATTCTTCATAATCGGTTGCTGCAAATCTGGTAAACTTTTCCACTGGTGTTGGCTGGCTAGAAATAGTTTGGGAGGTATCAAATGTGGGAAACATAGGAAAAGGCAATAGGAATAGTTTCTGTGTAAAATATTTTTAAGTTGGATGTTTTATTTTCTAAGTTTTAAAAAAGCTGAGTAAGGAGCTTTGGTGACAGATCATCAGCATCAGTGAGATAATCATAGTTCTTTTAAAATCCACCCAGCAGGACAAATGAAAAGTTTGTCCAATTTTTCTTCTACCTTTTGCTTTTTATCTTGAAGTTTACTGGTGAGATGTCTAAGTGTTCCAGCTTATGTTGTAAAAAACTGAGAGGATGGGGGTTTGATTACTTCATTATTATTTGGTACTGGGGCGGGAACCCAGTGCTCTACTATTGAACTAAACCCCAGATGGGAATCTCACTGGCAGCATTAGAACAGATGTAAGAGATAGGAAGATATTAAAAATGGAAAGTTTTTTTTTTTTCTTGGTAGTACTGGGGTTTGAACTCAAGGCCTCCTGTTTGTTAGGAAGGCACTTTACCACTTGAGCTATGCCTCCGGCCTGAGTTTTAAGATTTCATTACTGCATATTGTGAGTTTTAGTGGTTTGTTGACTAGAGAAAAAGGCAAGGTATGAATGTGTATGTAAATAAATAATTAAAATTTAAGGGTTTTTTGCTTTGCCTTTTTTTTTTTTGAACTCAGGGTCTACAACTTGAGCCACTCCACCGGCCCTTTTTGTGTTACTTCTTTTCAAGATAGGGTCTTGCAAACTATTTGCTTGGGCTGGCTTCGAACAGCATGATTCTCTTCATAGCTGCCTTCTGAGTAGCTAGGATTACAGGCATGAGCCACCAGCCCCTGGCTGTTTTCCTCTGTTTTTTGGGATAGAGTATCCTGTATGCCAGCCTGGCCTCAAACTTGCTATCCTACCTCAGTATCCTGAGTGCTAGAATTATAGGTGTGTGCCATCATAACTGGCTTTAAGTATCATTTTAATCCAACAATTCTCTCCACCTCCAGACACACACACACACACACACACACACACACACACACACAGAGTACCCCATGAAGCTTTGCACACAGAATTGGAGCTGCTCAACTAGGGGCTTTTTAAAGATTTCCAGCCCTTCCTTTCTGCTCAGTCTCTGGTGGGGGCACCAGTGAGCAGCAAAACGAGGCACAGGGTGGCTCTAGGAAGGGTCAGGGAGAGGAAGGAGGAGGAGAAATAAGAACACGGATAAAAATAAAGGCATTCTGAGGACTAGCCCACCCATGACTTAGGTGCTAGAGCAAATTGGGCTTTTAAAATTATTTAATGTTAATGTGTCTCTCAGATTGATACTGCAACAAGTATTCCAATATATTGTAAACAATCTCTCAGGGAGAACTTTAAGTTGTTTAGACTTTATTACAATGCCTAAAGTGCTTTTTGGAAGTAAGCGGGCATATTTGAAGGACTGCATCAATTTTAAAAGTTCTTAAGAGTCTGAGTGGGACATATTATTTTTTAAATTAACAAAATAGTGGTTTTTTTCAATTGTTTTATTTTTGGAATAACTTTTATTAGCATAACTTAATTGTACCAGGAGTTTCATTGTGGTATTTACACACTTGCATCTCATGTAGTCTGATACAAACTCATCCTGTCTGTATTACTCTTTCTTAACCCTGCTTTTCTCCTCCTTTTTTTTACACTGTTTTCAGTGGGTTTCATTATAATAAAATTATACTTTTAAATCTTAGTTTTGGAAGTAATTTCTAGATAAGCACGGGAGAAGGGCCCCTGAGTCACCAGGGCCAATGACTTGGGAGCAGGCTGACCAGGTAGAAAAACTGAGACGGAACTTTGAAGATACGTACGCCAGCTACTGCCCACATAAATAGCCACGAGGGAGTTTTTGAAAATGAGTCTCATTGTGTTGCCCCCTTGTGAAGCAGCCTCCAGTAGCTTCCCTTCCCTTACCAGATTTTGCAGAGACTCACAAGCCTCCCCTTCCCCGTTCGGTTCATTTCTAGTCATTTCCCCCTTGTTCCTGCTACCAGCGTGCCTTCTTTCTAGCACTGAAACAGCTTTTGCAGTTCCCATTCCTCTGGTTAGAGTCTTTCCCCCAAGATCTCAGCATGCTAGTTCCTTTTTTTCCTCTGGGTTTCAGCTCCGATGTTCTGAGAACCCTCCTACTACTCCAGCCTGCGGTCCCATGGCCCACTCCCCTTTCCCCCACCGCAGGCACTGTTACATTTAACTTTCTGGTAACACTTAACAGCATCAGATCAGTTCCTACTTACTTTTTTTTTTTAATCCATTATTCACATGTGCCTATGTTGTTTGGGTCATTTTTGCCCCCCCGCATCCCTCGCCCCCACCCTCTCTCCCTCCCTCCACCCCCCTCCTTGCTTCCAGGCAGAATCTGTTCTGCCCTTATCTCTGATTTTGTTGAAGGGAAGACATAATCATAATAAGAAAGACAAAGCGTTTTTGCTTGTTGAGTTAAGGACAACTATACAGAGAGATTCCTAGCATTGCTTCCATGTACAAATGTGTTACAACCCAAGTTCATTCATCGCTAACTGATCTTTACACTGATTCCTGATCCCCTTCTCATGTTGACCTCTGTCGCTTTAAGGTTTCTGTATTAGTTCCTCTGGAGTGGGGACTCCTTACTCTTTTACTGGCTTTTCTTCCACTGTTCCCCAACTAAGAGTCAAACTCCTGATGGGGGGTGGGGGGAGCATTGTCCTTTTCACTCTCATGCCCCAAGTAATTTATTCAGATGCTTAGTGAGTGTGTAGATAGGATGAAAGAACCAGGCTGGGCTGGGGGTGTGGCTCAGTGGTAGAGCCTTTCCTAGCATACAAGGCCCTGGATTCAATCCCCTAGCACCCCCCCAATCCCTGCCAGACAAGAACCAAGTCCCTGTACAATCTCCTCAGGTGCTCCTTCCTCTTCTCTTTGTACTGACTTACTCAGAAGCAGAATTGCTGGACCTCTTGCCCTTGTGCTTTAGGCTAGACAATCTTTTTTTTTTTTTTTTTTCCTCACTGTGACACCAAAATGATTTAGTTTCTAGAGAAGTTAGGGCATTTTTTTTCTTTAAAAATTTTTTATTGTTTTTACATTTGTTCATATGTATATACATTGTTTGGGTCACTGCTGCTCCCTGCCCCCCCTCCACTTCCTCCACCCCCCCCCCAGGACATTTTTTTAAAGGTAGATTTTGGACAACATTAACCACAATTTTTTTTTTATATTTGCCTAGTTTTTCTAATTAGGAAAAATTCAAAAGCTGTTTTGGTGAGACTCTGTTTCATAGAACTGTTGGGAACTGTGAAATGAGCTAAGGGCCTGTGAAAAGTACTCAATAATTATTAGCCGTGATTAGGACATTTCCACTCTAAATTCAGATTTGTTTTTCCTAGACAAAAGTTGTTGGGTGAAGTGTTCTTTCCTCACTAGAATGCATCCTGAATAAAACCTTGAGATATGAGGGACGGAGTGGGGGTCACTCTGCATTGTTCATAGTGCTTGGTAAAGGGGCCAGGGTGTCCACCCTGGACTGCTGCAGTCCTTTTCTGCAGCTCTTTAGGGTTTTGTTTCCTCAGCAAAATCCACCCAGGACCAGAAAGTTCCCAGCTGAGGCTGGCATTACCAACCCCCATACCTTCCCTTGTGGAGTGCAGGCTTGACATGGTACAGGAATAGCTTCCTGTCATGTGCCTCTCAGGA